GTGCTGCGTCGAATGCTATATTTACATAATATTTTCACGAATGCTTAATAGGTATAAAAAGTTCTAATATATATATATATATATTATTTATTATCATAATATATATAATTATTATATAATATATATAATAATTATTATTATATTATATATAATATATATCAATAATATATTGATATAAATAATAATATAAAATTGATAATAATAAAAATAAATATTATATATATATAATATTTATTTTTATTATTATCAATATTATTATTATTATATTAATTATATTATATTATATATAATTATTATATAATATATATAATAATATAATAATTAATATCTAAATATTATAAAAATATATTAATTATATATATTTAATTATAAAAGTATATATAAAAAATAATTATTATATATAATATATATCAATAATATATTATTATTAATATTATTATTATATTAATTATATTATTATATATTATATTATATTTATATTATATTAATATTATTATTATTAATATATATTAACATTTTAATATTATTTATATTATATATATTAAGTATATATATGATATTTATTTAATATTTATAATTCAACAAAATTTTCTCCGCAGTTTCTGTCCCTAACCTTGTTATCATAGTTTCGAGTTTATGAAATATCTATCGAATTAGATTACCCTGATTGGGCCTGGTACCGTTATTTCTACCCATCGGAGTGGATACAATGAAGAATTTGGACAATGGGCTGATTGATTGTTTGGGGAGAGGAACAGCTGGTCGGCTGGACCTTTACATTCAGTTTTCTAATGATCCAGTCCCGTGATCGCACGTTCCGACACTAATTTATTATGTTTCGTCAGCATTTCAATCGTTTCTATTCGGCGATATCGATTTTAATCACGAATTAAGAAATGTTCGCCGACCGATGACCGAGTTTCCAATTGAAATGTAGAAAAAAAAAGGATGACTGGAACTTTCTACAAGTTTTCGATAATGAACTTTGACCTTTCGAGGTAACGGCACCGAAATCTGCGTCTCGTCACGATTCATTCGTCATTCCGTTGCCATCAAATTTTAGCGCTTTCTGATCGCGGGAACTGAGAATGTCGGCATTGATTAATGCTGTCAGTCTCATTTAGATTACCAAAAAACAAAAAAAAAGCGAAAACAATTCATTCGTTCAACAACATTCCGCAATATTATGTAAGGCGTACGAAAATGTCTGCTGAATTCGCGATAGATTCTCGGAAGTCGGTTAACGGGAAACGAAGTTCGTATATGTATTCGTAAACAAAAACGCGCGTAATAGACCGACACGTCCGTACGAGTTTCTTTTCGCTGTTATTACAGCGTTCCGTCTTCCTCTGGCGAGATTCCAGGAAATCCATTCGCGAAAGCAACATGATTTTCGTTCAGTCGATTCGAAACTCGCGAGTAGTTTCAATATACAGGGTATACAAAAAGTGTCCCGCAATCCGGAAACGAGGGATTCCCGAGGTCATTTGTAGTAACTTTTTCCTTAGCGAAAATGCAATACGCTGCTTCGTTCGCGAGTTATTCGCGAAAAACGGTGACCAATGAGAGGCGAGCTCGGGCAGCGCGAGGCGGCCGAGTCACTAGCGCTCGAAGCCCAGTTCCGCGGTGACCAATGAGAGGCGAGCTTGGCTGGCGGCGCGAAGCGGCCGAGCCACTAGCGCTCGAAGCTCAGTTCCGCGGTGACCAATGGGAGGCGAGCTCCGATAGCGCGTGGCGGCCGGGCCAATGAACAGAGCTGGACTTCGCGCGCTCGTTGGCTGCGCCGCCTCGCGCTAGCCAAGATCGCCTCTCATTGGTCGGCGTTTTTCGTTGATAACTCGTTAACGATGCGTCGGAGAATATTTTTGTAAAGGAAAAAGTTACTTCAAATGATCTCAGGAACCCCACATTTCCCGGAAGTACCATAATTTGGGACATCC